CTAGAAAGTCATCCGAGAAACAATCAATGACGTTGTCAGTATCCAAAAATTGCAGACCAAAAAAAAAGTTTTAAATCATAACTTTCATCTGTATTTGTGTTATACATTTTTGTGAGTCCTAAACTTTGAATTTTCCTCCACCAACTCATACTGCGGATACTGCCGGCACAAAATAAATTTATTTTCAGGGCCGCAATTAACTTATTGATAAAATATGATCGGGCCGCAATTCACCGATCTCCAACACGTTAATAACATGTCGGGCCGCCACTCACCTATGGCCAAATTATTACCTTCCTTTATTATGATGATTAATTGTTATGTATTAAACTTGAGTGGTGGTTTTGACTTTTGATAATCTTTTAATTTTAAACAAACAAGGACGTAAATTGTATGATCGATACATGTAACCATTAGAATAAGTGAGTATCCAATAAAAATAAGAATAAAACTCGTTTAAACTTCTTAATTTTCGCATTTCCTAATTTACGAATCACGCGGTTGGACATTTTGCTAGGCAATCTGTATACAGAAATTATTTATCGATTAAAGATTAAACAATTTCCGTTAAGGCAATACGTAACCACGAAAATATTTTACTTAAAATTAATACGAAATCAGTCCATAACGCCTGAGTAGGTTAGTCCAACAATCCCAAGAAGTCCGTCAAGCATCCCCTAAAGTCCAACAATTATTGTTACAGGCATAATAGCTAAATAATCTAACTTACAGATAAATCATAATAATGATTTAAGGTTTTTGTTTTTGGTTTTACAATAATGTCGTAACTATATCATTATTCACAATAAATGAAAACAAAATTTAAATTTGTATTATTTGTATATTATGTAGGCACTATATTGCGTATCATACAGAAATATGACGTGTTGAGCATAATACTATCAAGAGTTTTGAAAAGACATACATATACTATTAAATACGACAATATTATACAATTAGTATAGTAACACTTTATTTTTATTCAGATACAATAATTCAAATGGTCTGACAATTTGTATTTTTGAGAGCTATATTATATACAATATCAGGGGTCGATCCAGAAATTATCAAGGTAGGGGGTAATTAAAATGTATTCAACAGATACTATTCATACTTAATAACATACTTTTTAATATCACCATTCTCTTGGGTTGTGGCTTTGTTATTATCGTTATAACGATACGAAACGCTGAATATAACTAATATTTTTCCCAAATCACAATGTAATAAATTTGAATGTATCAAGCTTAGGGGAGGGGGGTATTTATTTATAATTGGGACCCTAAAATTTAATTCTCAGAGCATAAGACCCATTTTTTAAGATATCTAACTTGGTACTAGTAAATAGTAATTATAATATACCACTGGTTAATATGTCACATGACTTGTCTCCAAATGGAGAAAAGGGCACACAAATATTGTTGTCACCCCCTGAAATTCAGATTAGCGTGTGTCTATGGATTCGATTCAAAATGTATTATCGGTTTTTTTTTTAAATTGTGCATGGAAAGTAAAAAAAATTACTGAGTAAAGAATTTTTGTTGTCTACGGGAAGTAACAAACAATGGATAGGAACTGTTTGGACATTGCACCGTTTTTTTCTTTTCACTTCATTATCATTATAATGAAGAAGAGTGCGTATCATACAATAGGTATTATGTATTATACGTTATATTATAGGCTCTCGACACCACCGAAACGATTTGAAAAGATGATTATTGTGGTTGTTCGGTTTATATGGTCCCGAAGAAAATTATCGTTTTTTGTGTATTTTTTTTTTCGTAATATTACATTATAATATTATACATTTAATAATATGTTTATACAACCGTATATGAGTCAATATCAGTACATTGAGTACATCAATCATTGAGTACATATCAATTATTGTTAATAGTATTATCATATTATATTGATATTGACGATATTATTATTATTATATTATTATTTTATTTTTTCATTTGAATTCGAACACGGCATTAAACCTTACACTTTTGGGTTTCGTTTTTTTTTCATTGGTTTGAGGTATTCATATTATGATAACCGAATGACCGAATCTCAGCTGACTTGGTACACCAGTGATGAACAACCTTTTTTCCTCTTCTGGCCACTTAAGTCTTTATCTTTGAGCGGGACACCAAATATAAAAGTACGAACAATTTCAATCTTAATCTAATAGTGTAATGTTGTTACACATTGTAGGGTACAATATAAATGAAGGTACACATTGGACTTGTTTTCTTATCTTTTATTGACTATTCAATAGGTATTGAAAAGATTACAATTGTACATTTAAAATTACAACTTACACGCACCTGGCAAATACATAATGTAACATGTATAATTAAAGCATTTGATGCAAAATTAAAATTATTTATTAATCAAATTGATAACAGCGATTTCAGTCATTTTGAGAATAGATAATAGGTATGTTAACAAATTTCAAACCGAAATTTCATCTCGATTTTCAGGTGTTAAATTACATGAAAAATCGTTGCGTTCATTTGAAAATCCATTCAATATTAATGAAATTTATATCGAAACTTCATTACAAATTGAACTTATTGAGTTTAAAATAAATTAATTTTACTGTGATGAATTTTAAAAAATGATGTTTTAAATTTTTTCAAAACTTTCACTCAAAGATTTTCCTGCTTTGAGAGACATTATGATTAAAATGTATTTAAATACTGTATTAAGCTCGACGTATATGTAAATGAAACAAATACTTTCATGGATGAAACAAACAAAATTAGTTTATAGATCGCAACTTATGAATGAACATCTCCATTCAATTTTGAGGATTGAAACAATTAAATTCCAATCAGATTTTTCATTATTAGTAAATGAGATGCTCGCTCAAATTTCACATTGAAAATAAGGGTAAAACATTGTTATATATTTTTTATTTTCATTATTATTATGGGTATATATTTACTATAATACACACTCAACCACAGTCTTAAAATAATGCCACCTTTGATAGAATACCACCTAAGTTTACAAACCTTATCATCAATCCATATCACAACGTTAATCTTATCATCTTCTCAAGATTTAGAAAATATGTTCCTCTTCAAACCATCAAAAAGCAACATAAAAAATGCAAAGTACATTATTCCAACCATCTGAAATTGGTATTCACTATAGTCTATCAACGAATTATTTGGAGCCCAGATGTACTGATAGAACGAGTTACACTGAGTAACGAGTAGTCGAGTCGCTTAACTAGGTGGCTGAGATGTACTTACAACCTGTCATCATCATTGATTACCTGATATATTGTATCATATTGTCTGCTATCCAACGAGGTTGGAATAAGATTGGAACTTAACATCAAAGAATTTATCGGATCCGTATACAAAACTGCCTATATTGGCCCCTTTTTTGCAATTAACAAAATATGATTTAACATTGATAAGGTGGTATTAAGTGTTGATTATATGACATAATTTTCATTATAATTTATCATAAAATAATATATTTCATTTTATTATACATGATAATTTATTAAGAGTAAAGATGTGACTGTGAGTTTGTGCTACACACTATACAGTGGTATACAATTATTTTACACAGGTTGTATAAAAAAAATGATGTATTTGATATTTAAGAATATAATTTAGTATGAATTTTAACTACTTAATATAAATTTAATTTAATTCTAGTCACTAAGTAATTAGGATTGGTAGCATTTCAAATACATATTTCTAAGAACTTCAAAATTATTCTTGCATATAGTGGTGTTTAAAATGTTTTTCCTAATTATTAAGCCATTTAAAAATGGTCATAATAAACAATAGTTTTATAATCTGTGTTCAAATTCTGATGAATTAAAGTACTGCAAGGTTATTAATATAAAACCGGTATAATTTAGTATATTATATAAAAAATAAAATATCGTATTTTAACATCTATATGAACTGAGTAGAAGATTATTATTGATAAGTAAATTTGAAATTAAATGGTTTAATACATATTTTATGGTTATCAATTAAAATTATATAAAATATAAATAATAATAAATATAATAACAAATTCATAGGAAAAGTAGGTAACGCTCTGATGTATAAAAAATTGCATTTAAAAAGTTTGTATTAATTATAATAATATGCCTACTCTTAAGTTACATCACAACAAAATAACAAGAATCATTAATCTTGGTTTTATTATGTAATTCCGACCAAATTTGAACTCAGAACTATAAAAAAAACACCATAAAGAAAATAAAACCACTCTTTTTGCTGTTTATATACTCAATTAGTAAATTACTTACTTTAAATTAATAACCAACCCCTAATAATTATTCATAAGTACTTATAATTATTTATAAGTATTTAAAAAATAATAATAATTACCTAATTATCATAAGTATTTCAATTACAAATGTATAAACTAATCTCTATCCAATTTTTTTTTATCAGCTCTAGTTACAGGTGACTGACATCTTGACAATCATTTTAGGTGATACAAAATTATGACAAAAAAAAAACTAAATATATTAAAAAACGGAACAAGCTTCCTCGTCTATTTACTTCATGTACTCAAAAATAAATTATATTTTTCACAAATAAGCGATAAGAAATGTTATTAGGTTGATATGTATTTACGGGGGTATACTTTGAACAGTGTGATAATTGACTGACGAACTAGATTTAAGAGCATGCTCACAAAAAGCTTAGGCTCTATACTCTGTTCAAAATAATAAGCACAGTCGGCGGTTGACTTGTGAGCAGGGGAGTGGCAATATACTGGTATATTGATTGAGAACTCAGTGGTGGGGGGGGGGGGTGACGAACAAGTGTTTCCCGGCTGTCTGTGTTTCTCATTTGAACAGAGTATAGGTTCATTATGTTATCAAGAACTATCTTAATGGCTACAATTCTACATCGATAGAACATGATATAAAATATAATCAATGATAATATTGATAATAATGAATAATTATTATAGATATACTATAATAACTGAACTATATATCTAGAAAAAAATAGAATCGTAAAAAAATAATATAAAAAGAGTTAGTTCTGGGCCGGTATTGCTCTTCAGCTAGAATGTGATTGAGAGGATACCGCATTCATAGGAAGGATTATGATGGATCGGTACTACTAGCCAGAGGATATTTAACTATAAATAAGTGGTATATAACTGGTCTACCAGCTCAACAGAGCTCGGCAGACTCCTTTTCGACTTTTCTTTCTGCCTTAGACCCTCGACACTGTTTTTCATTCCGTACAGTACGTACACGAATAGTCCAATCGCCAACCAAATACTGAAACGGATCCAGGTGATTAGGTCAAGTTTCGTCATCAAGTAAACGTTCATTAAGATGCTAATACATGGTATGAGTGGAACCAGCGGGACCTATGAAAAAGCAACATAAATTTATACTTTATTTAAAAAGTTGTATTTGTAAAACATAATAAATGTCTATGAACGAATAATAGTTAATTATAGTATAATACTAATCAATATATCAAATACAATAGGTACAAAAATGTATATTTTTTTTCCATATACGAGTATTATGTATTGCACTCTTATTGAATCAATCTGTCATTAATTTTTTGAGATAATAAAAATGATTCAATCTTCAAATTTGAGAGGGCTTTTGGTTTAAAGGTGAGATCGAAAGTAAAAATAAAAAATGTAGTTATTTTTAAAATAATCCGTAAAAACAAAAAAAAAACGAAAAGGTGGTCAATGGTCCCACCCTGCTGAATAGAATGTGTCGAGTGGGTCACTGTAATGGATATGCCAAATTTGAATTCAATGATATAATTATAAAATCATTAAATAAGTACGAAAAACGACACTGAACGAAGACTGTACTGACTGACTGACTTCAGCCTATACCTTTACCAAGTACAATTTTTGATTTTATTGCTAATAAAGTAATTGAATTTACTATTAATAATACAGTAGGCGGAATTAATATTTTCCCAAAACCTTGCATTTGAAAAAGTCACTGTGAATATAAAATATCATACACTTATGTACGCTAAAATTGTAGGTACACTCAAATGATATTTTCAAATCATAACAAAATGACTAAAATTGTAATTCTTTGTTTAAATATTTAATTTTTTCCAAATTTACTTAAAATGTCTATAAATCTATAATATAATATCTATAAGTACATATTTTTTAGATTTTTTGTTTACAGTATAAATTTCTTATGAAAAATCTTCTTTTCATTTTTCAATAATAAGCAATAAAAATTGATCATTTTATAAATGTAGAGTTATAGAATGAATACTTATCGACATTTATAGAAAAATAAATTAAATAAATGAGTCAAAATATTTTTCTTGAATAGATATGGATAATGGTCTTATAAAATTAGAAGCAATAAGGGACAATTTGAAATATTTACAGTAATTTATTTTTGAGTTACTACAAAAAATTAAAATCGATTTTGCCAAAAACTGGTTTTTCTTAAAAATTACTGTTGAAAAATCTTGTAAATACAATTTTCTACCAGATACCACCCCAAAATTGAAAACCTAAGCATTTTTTAGACCATTTCCCGTGTACACGAACACAAAAATAAATTAAAATTAATCATCATTGTTACACGATTTATGAGGGTAATTGTGAAGATTTATAACGGTTCGTACTTTGAACGAAAGTTGTTTTTTTGATTGGGGCTGTCTGGTCAGTAACAGCATCAGAAGCAACAGTCCGGTGGCCACAATGACGTTCGTGTACGTTACGATGCTGTTATTGACGCACGCCTCTTCGAAGGGAGTTGTGGCATTGTTGGTGTTTATAACGCAACCTTGTTGAAAGTCCGTGACGTTACTGTCATTTTCGTCACACCAAGGATAGATGGTTGCAAAGCACTCTTGTTGTACGTTTACGAAGCTAAATAGAATGGACAAGCAAGCTGCAAAAGGTCAAACGACGTGTTTAATTTATATAATAATATTAAAAATTTAAAAGTTATTAATTATTGATCTTCGGTGAGTTATTCTGTTTTGAAACGTACTGTACGACACAATGATGGTCGTGGAAATGCGCTCGGTGTCTTTGTTGGTGTTATCGATGTTGGACAGGTTAAAGTACTTTCCTAACGTCTTGACGAAACCACTAGTCTCCGGTTCGTTGCAGTCCAAATCGTTTTTATACCTCAACATCAGCACGCAAATGCACACGATCGTGTACGCCAACAACGTGCCGATCGACATCATATTCATCAGTTGATCAAGGTTCAAAAGCGCAGTGATAATACCTGAAGATGGTCATATGTTAATCACACGGGGTCAATATAGCACACGCCGTTCATAAATCGTGAAATGGTATTAATATATTTACCGGCGAAAAGTCCCGACAACAGTGTGGAAAACAATGGTGTTCTAAGCTTCGGATGAATGGTCGAGAACATACTGAATATGAGACCGTCTTCAGCCATGGTCATTAGAATCCTAGGCATCGAGAACATGCTCGCTAAGAGACTGCAAAGTTTGAAGTAAGTTTTCATTATTAAGACATCATTGAGATTCTTGAGAAACGTGCTCTTACCTGGCAAGCATAGCAAATATAGCACCGGATGAAACAATCATTTTCAACGTCGTCCAACCAAGTTGATCGTAGACGTACGGGAACGGCGCGTCGATGTCCTATAACGTGATAAGTAAAGGTATTTATAGTTCGATTGTTCAAAGTTAAATATTAAAAATTATTTATAGTGACTAGTGACTACTAACTATGCAAGAAATCAGAATTAGACGATAAGAATAATAATTATGAGCTGTTCTCAAATATGTCTTCAAGCAAAAAAGTTCTAAAATTATTTGTTAATTTACTATCATACCTACTTAATTATTTTCGTATAGTAAAATACACCTGTGTGACAAAAAAAAAGCAACGATGCAAGTAGTTAAATAAGAACATTTTGAAAAACACAAATGTAATAAAATAAGAGGTCACGGAGTCGAAATTTAGAAAACAATATGGACTGTGGAATCAATTTAATGAAAAATATTCGAAGTAGGTATTATAATAATATAATATTATAATGTAGGTATCAATACAATATCTAATAATTTTTAAAATACTGGGAAAACTATTAATTAATATCAATAAATATTAATCTTAGTAAACCTAAGGTATTATGCAAATTTTTTGTCTACAGGTAAATACATAATAATATTATAATTAGTAATACTGATATACGTATAATAAGAGTACCCACTACCAACGTAAAAGAAAAAAACCGGGAAGTGGATGTCGCTCTGCTGTACATTAGGTGTCTAGGAGATAGCTTTAATGGATGGTATTAAATTTGAATTCAATGATATATCATTGTATACGAAAAACGATTCTAAGTGGAGACAGTATGTCAGTGTAGGATAGTTTATGTTGTTATTACTTTTTATTCATATGGCGTCTGGTAAGTTGAATTAACATTATTCTTTAAATTATTAATTAATTAAAAAATTAAATTTGATAAATATTATCAAAATTTGAGCTTTAAATAGTTATAAAAAAAAATCATGCCCATGTATTTTTAATATTTTTCAACTGTTATCGTAACAAGTTATCGAGTCTCATAAAAAATTATTATGGATTTACGCTCAACTTTTTCTTTAATTTTCATTAACAACTTACGAAGAATCTTGTTTTACATTTACAAGTTTTTTGCCAAAGTGAAAAATTTTTTATCGGCATTAGTTTAAAAAAAAAAAATAATAATTGAAAATTTCATATGCCTATAAATAGTTCAACACCAGTCAAGATATTTTGAAAATTTTATGATGTACAGAAAATTCTAACACAAATATTCAGTGAAAATTTGATGTATCTACGGTCGTTTTTGTTAGAGGTAGGTACTCTAAAAACAAAAGTCGATTTTTTCGAAAACTGGTTTTGCATAAAAATTCCTGTTTTTCTTAATTTTTTCTTTGTTTTTCTAGTTGCTTTTCAAAACTATTGGGAATTTTAAATTTTGACCTCCCGAATGCACCAACTAGATTTACATTCCTATCAGAGAAGTTGCTGTTGGTGAAAACCGAAGCACTTTTACTGGAAGAAACCGTGATGACACACAAAAAAAAATATATATAAAAACACACATCAAAATCAATAAATTCATCGCCCCGATCAGAATCTAAAAGTTTTTTTTACATGCTTAGAATATTCTTTTAGTTAAACTGCATAGTATAATATGTTAATGTGTTATTTCTAAGGTTCGGGAGTTGTTGCATTTGCATATTGTTTAATAATGACAGTATACTGTATTCTATAGAATAGTCTTAGTAAGATATAAATTGGTTTAAAGTCATGACGGATTGACGAACAAAATTTTAATTGCACATTCTTGCTTATTTCGCCGTTTTCCGAGTAAAACTCGTATTTGATAAATGTTGGTAATTTAATTGTTATACATATATGTATACGCTGTTTTCGTTTTATTTTAAGTACATTTATTTTGAAGGGTAACATTATTTTTTTTTACTTTCATGTGTCGGTCAATATACCGAATCATAGAACGAGTCAGGACTCAGGGTCAGGACAGGGCAACTACGGAAATACCTAAGTGTTCTTACGTGTACTATCGGTTATCGACTTATCATTTATAGTGTTATTGTTGCCAAAAAAATACTAATTAAAAAAAATTGTGCAAAGTAAAATGAATAAATCAAATTTTTTAATTGCCACTATAAAATTATCTAGCTGAATATTTTCGCCCATATTTTGATTATTTTAAGTACATATGTGCATGCATATATCCTACAATTTATGTGCAAGAAGTCCCGAACCCTAGTTATTACTATAAAAGAAGGGAGAATTTTTCTTATCACATTGGTTAATACCTGATCAAAATACGGCCACATCAGAGTTAAAACCGAACTGATACAGCAATATGCAGTCGTTATGATGATCAACGACAGTATGATTGCCAACGGTATATCACGTTTTGGTTTTTTCGCTTCTTCTCCTGTGCATGGAAATTATTATTTAGTTGATGTTATAAGTGGCTAGGTAGGTATTTCTTTGATTATATTTTGTATTATTTGACACTCACCCGTAGTAGCTATGGAGTCGAAACCGATGAACCCGTAGAAACATTTGGCAGCCCCCGCAGTCACTCCGGCCCACCCGAAAGGCATGAAACCGCCTTCGCCGCCTTTCGCGCTTTTCGGGATGTCTTGTTTCGGTATACTCCAATTGTACAAATTAACTATGACAACGATAACCAAATATTACATTAATGCACAGTATTATTATAATTTATTCATTTATCAAGTATCAACAACGATGACGTGCGGTGTACATCAGACTATATTATGTTACCTTTAAATAATCCGGATACAATGACCATGATAACGGTCAATAAATTAACGACGGTAAACAAGTTGTTGATCATTGTAGATTCGCGGACTCCCCATGACAATATAACTGCAAAGATAATATCAATTAAATACTAATTTATCGTAAATTCATAATTATAATGGATTTTGCATTTCGTGTTTAAACAATTTTCTACTCACCCGATAATAGTAGCACGAGGCTGAACGATAACATGTCTGGGTAGTCGGCCAAAAAACTAACATTCATGGGGAAGAGATAGGTCATCGTGGTTTTTATAGGGTAGTCCAATATCGCGTCGATGTAATTACTCAAAGCTTTAGCGACGCTAGCAGTACCTGTAACGAGTAGAGATAACAAATTAATAGGTAACTACATTTTAACACATTTCACATTACAGGTATATACTAAAATTGTCAAACTAAACCTAAACTATTTATCAATTTAGTTGGACGTGATGAAATTTGTTTTTAAATTTGAAGACTTAAGTAATATTTAGAATACAAATCATATTGTAGTACTTTTGTAAGGTTTTAAAACGTATTTTTAACTGGAGTTAACAGTTGTCTTTAACCAGTGTGTCGTGAAAAATTTTTGGGTCACGGTAAGCTGGTACCTGTACTTTAAGTCAGCGAATAAAGTAAAATAAATTTACATTAACATAAATGTTTAATGTGATAATTAACTATTATTTATTATTATAATCAGCTTTTTTATTTTAAAATAGGTCATAAAAAAATTAAAAAATAATAATAACGAAAATGGGTCTCGAGTTTATTAAGATTAAATACCACTATTCACTAGTGCATGAATATGTTAGTACATTATATTTTTTACCGCTTCGCCGTTGAGATGTAGTGCAGTGCACTCCTGACACCGGAGTCCGGAGTGGAGCTTACTACCGGAAGTAAGCCCCACATTTTGTTGTATGTCATAGTACGACATATAACACATCACTTGGTTAATGATAAAAAATACCAACCTGTACAAGCTTGTTGGGCCTTATATAATATTATATTTTAATATTATTATATAATTTATTACTCACCGATGACGTATTCGAGTATCAGGTTCCATCCGATCACGAACGCGACGAATTCGCCCACGCCGACGTAACTGTAAACGTAGGCAGACCCGGCTCTTGGCACTCTCGCTGCGAATTCTGCGTAGCATAGTCCTGCGGATATAATAATATATATATGTGTATTATTAAAATCTATTAATTCATTAATAATAATTTTGGTATTTTATTTCCGGTTAGGAGCAGGGTGCTCGGTCGTTATGCAATAGGGCAGTAGTCCTTTGCGAAAGGATTATAAGAAAACACTCACAAATTTTGAACAAAAAGTCCTAAAGTAATGCGATTTAAACTGTACACAATTTTCAGAAATGTAGATGAATAGGCTGCATTTTATTCCAGAGTTCCACCCTTATAGGGAGGCTCAAACACCTCAAACATGAATTATGCCCTTGAAGTACGAGAATTGAATTTTTTTAATTTTAATTTAAGGAAAATTAAGAAGTATTTTTCTTAATTACGATGTCTTGCGGAGTTCTTTGGTAATTTATAAGAAAATCAATTAAAAAACATGTAAATTATATTAAAATTATGATAATTATCTGATTTATAAAGAAATATTATTAAAATATAATAATTCAACTCAAATACAGGGGAGGGAGCTTGATTTATACATCAAAGTCGATTTTCACGTTGTTTCCCTTCTCCTTCAAAACCACTGATTGAATTTTAATCAGATTTCTATTGTTGAGTAGCTCGGTTCTTTGGCAAGGTTTTAAGAATAATGTTATGGATCCGATTTCTACCTCTAGAAAAATTTAGAGATGTAGATAAATGGAATATAGTGACGGCTCAATAAAATTTTAAATTTGTTTCTAAGAAACCACACTTGACCGTAAACAAAATTACTGTTGTTTCTATCTGTTGTGTTGTATTTCTATGTGTCCTTTTTATCCAGGTGGAGTATAAGTTTAATATACGTAGTGAATTTGAGTATTTACTGTAAAACGGCGGATAGGTAATTCTAAGTAAATTTTATTAGAGTCCTTTTCTGTTTTTAAATTAGTATTTTTGTTTTTGAAAATCTGACCAATGAAAATAATTAAAATACGAACCAGAAACTGATGTTCTATAATTCAATTAGTTTTTTTGTTAAACATTTATTTTTATCTTGTCTCACCTGCGACTGCCGACGCAACGGCAGCCAAAACAAATGACAGCACAACGGACGGGCCGGCTTCTATTCTGGCAACGTCTCCTGGAAGCACATAAATGCCCACTCCCAAAGTGGATCCAACGCCAAGTGCTGTCAGGTCCACCAGATTGAGAACCCTGGCCAATTTATTTTTATCCGGTTCGTCTACGTCATCCTCTTTTTTCCGTCTGAAAATAACCTGCCACAGAGTTTCTCGCTGGAAAAAAAAATCATCAGTATCGATATTATTATAATATTTTGTCGTTCCATATAACGTAATTTTGATTGCATGCGAAATCAATAAGTGTACATATCATGAATCAAGAAACCAAAATCGAAATTTAACAAGATAGGGTAAACCTTAGATACTGCTTAGTACTACAATATTATATAATCTCCAGCTATATGTTTAAATTAATGTTAGCAGTAGACATTATTAATCAATAACAAAGGTAAATATAACTGAAAAAAACATTTTCATAGTTCAGTTTAACCCTTTGCGACCAACGGGACTTTTGAGTCCTCTGTGTATTTTATCCATTTAAACATAGGTAAAATAAATTAAGTACTATCTGACCATAGTGACTTATTAGTCACATCATTTTTAATCAATAATATTCCCGAACATTTTCTGTAAATCAATAGATGGCGTTAAATATATTACGTAATAAAATAAAATATATAGTTTAGCCTTTAAAATAAATATTGATATTTATATAAATAGCCACAGCGCGAACCAGTATAGATAAGCATTGGGTTTTATTATTATTATTTTCGTTATAATCCCGAGAAACAGAACATACCATTATTGTGTATAAATATGTGTTTATTGACAATAATCACAACGGACTTTGAAGTCCCTATGGTCTATTGCGACATTTTTATCGTTTTGACGAATATTCTCAGTCAAGCACTCGCGCGCCAAGTATATTGTTTATACGTATTCTATTCTTTTCGCTCTTGAGTGTTGCTTATTCATTTGTTAATTATTATTTGCTCGTTCAGTTTTTAATTTATTTAATTGGTGAAATGAATAAATTTATAAAATTAAACGATCGTGAGATCGAAGATATATTAATTGAAATTCCTGGCGATGATGGTGGTCTAACTGATCTCGAAGACATAAGTGACGATGATTTGATCGAAGAAAACAATTATTTAGACTTTTTAGATTCAAGCACGAATATACAAACCTCAGTAATAAATATAATGGGTATGTAATCAATATAACAATGTATATATTATAATTATAATTTTTTTTTCTGCATTATATTTATATAATAATACTATGTTTTGCATAGATCTTCCAATAGAATTTGCCGAAGAGGCTGAAAATATTGCAGGGCCATCTAATGCAGTGCCAATGCATAATCCTATGTTTGAAGATGTGCTTGATGATCATGTTGATGACAGTTCTGAAGAGACAGATACTCTTAAATGTAGTAAGAAAAACAAAATTAAAAAAGAAAAAGAAAAATCGTCTTGATAGAGGCATGGGCTAGAAAAAAAATTAGATCACCATGTCGATATTCCAGACTTTAATGATTTTGAAGGTATTTTTTATATTACTTATTTATTCATAATTTAATTTAATTGTCTATGGTACATTATGGGCACTTAATATGTTTAATATAAAAGTAAAATTGTTATTGAAATTGTTATGTAGGACCAATTCATGGAATTTTCATCAACCGTGCAAGTCCAACTGATGTATTTCTTCAAGTGTGTGGCCCTATTTTGGAAAATATCTGTGCACAGTCTAATTTGTATGCCACTCAACGAGGGAAAACTTTGAATTTAAGAATTGAAGAATTGAAAGCTTTTATTGGTATTCACTTTGTAATGGGATATAATAGATTACCATCCTGGAAAAATTATTGGTCAACAAGTAATGATTTAGGTGTAAAAATAATTTTTGATCCTATGAGTCGAAAGCGGTTTGATGATATTTTATGTTTTTTGCATATTAATAACAATAATGCTAAGACTACTGATAATAAGGATAAACTTTTTAAACTAAAACCACTCCTTGATTCTATCAATATTAGATTCATGGAATTATATTAAGTAACTAGAGAAGTGAGTGTGGATGAGTCAATGGTTTTATTCAAAGCTCAATAAAGCAATACAATCCAATGAAGCCCATAAAAAGAGGTTATAAGATATGGTGTTTGGCTGATCAACATGGATATATTAGTAAGTTCTCTGTTTATCAAGGGAAAGAGGAAGTAATTGATGACTTTGTTGATTTTGGTTTGAGTGAGAGAGTAGTTCTAAATCTAACAAAGCCTTATTGGAATAAAGTAATGAAAGTGTTTTTTGATAACTATTTTACATCTATAAATTTATTAGAAAAATTAAAGCTAGAAAACACCTTTGCATGTGGTACCATACGATCAAATAGAAAGAGTATTCCACTTCTAGCTCTAGATAAAACTTTAGAAAGGGGCATGTATGATTTTAAGACCTCTCGTTTAGGTATTACTGTTTATAAGTGGAAGGATAATAGAATTGTACACTTGGCATCTAATTTCCATGGTGTTGAAGAAAGTAGTGTATTACGAACTGAACGTGACGGAACAAAAAAAACTATAAAATGTCCTACTGTAGTTAAAGATTATAATAAATACATGGGGGGAGTTGACAAAGCATATCAATTACAAGCTCTATATAATATTAATAGAAAATCAAAAAAATGGTGGCATAGATTGTTTTGGGGTGTTATTGATATCATATTTGTCAATTAATTTGTAATTAATAACAAGCTTAATGAATCAAAATTAAGTGTTCTACAATTTAGAAGAGCAGTTTCCCAAGGACTAATAACACAAGGTAAATCTGCCCTAAAAAGAACAACCGATATATCTCCAGGTACTTCAAAAGGTAGACCATGTCTACAACCAAGAAGGGGCAAACAGTTGTTTTCAACAACTTCAGATGTGAGGTTAGGGAACTTAGGGACCCACTGGTTACAATTTAGTAAAACGAGAGGTAGATGTGAATTGTGCAGTAAAAATAATATAGAATCTAAACCATACACTAAATGTTCTACTTGTAATGTTTATTTATGTTTAAATGAAAAGAAACCATGTTTTAATGAATATCATTCAAAATAATGTGTTCATTTTTAGTATTATAATTATAATTATTTTTTTTTGTATATGACTATTATGTATATTATGTTATATTTATGCTTATAACAATGTTTTTATTACTATAATGTTTATTATGTTATACCTATGTTATATTTATACTTATAACTGTTCTTAATGAAAGTCTTATTATATGATAAATTATGAAGTGAACATTTATAATATTGAACATAGTAACTACTCAATGTTCTTAATTAGTCTGCAATATAAAAAAATTGACCATTTATTTTTTGTTACTATAACTATTTTCTTTAAGTTTATATTGTTGTTAATTTGAAACATGAATTATATACATTTTAACATGGTCATTATATTTTTAATTAATTAATTATTACTTATTTATCATAGGGAATAAGAAAATAGTAGTGTCGTAACGGACCATAAGGACTTTTAAGTATAGTCCTTAGATGACCAATGGGACTAATTTGTCCCACTCCTTAAAAATATATTAAAAAACCTCCAATTTAAGATTTCTTAATTTCTAAATTCATCAAAAAAATAATAATTTATAAAGGTGCAAAAAAAATCAAATTTCTATCACTATTTATTGTTGGTCTATAAAGGGTTAATATCAAGAAAAACTATTTTACGCGACTCGTCACAGTAAATTTAAATTTTTTTTAGTAGATATACAATTATTATTTTTAGGTAAAATACATCGAATATAATTCACAATATGTACATTGCATAAGTGTATTAAACAATACAATAAATAAAAAAAACATTTTATTTGATATTATGATCATGTCATAATGATAACATACTTAATACACAGATGATATGAATTATTTATATCAGTGCATTTGCATCGGTTCAGTACTAGACCATTCATATTTTTTTAAACAAATTAATTAAAGTTTATGAAAAATTCTGGAATGGTTTCAGATAAATTAGTCTTTAAATATTTGAAACACATACTGTTAAATTGCAGAGTATTTACCTACTATTTTTCTAAATACACAATTTCTCGAGACATTGTAGGTACTGTCAATGTGCTCACAGAATTAATGCAATAAAAAATTTAAATCATTTTATTTTATTCTCTATTTTGGAAAATGTTTGATCCTTTCCTTCCCCCTTTCAAAATTGTATTTAATATGTAACAAACTAACAACTAAAAATTAAAATTGATTTTGTGTAACAATTCCCATTTTTTTCTTTTTGTTTTTTCCCACACTTTTTAATATTGGGAAGTTTGACCTTCTGGAATCAACTCCTTGGTTCAATTGACTATCAGAAAAAATGGTGTTGTAAAAAAGACAGAAATCGCTCAGAATTTAAAATGTTGAATGTTATTAGTTTTTACCTCTAATGTTTCGCAAAGCTGCATTTCAGAATCTCCAAACAATTCCATGAGCTGGCTTTTTGTTGCTTGATTGTTTAAAACAAAATATATCTGTAAATATTATAATTATTAGATTATTGTATAATATTTATAATTAATAAAATTAATTTTACTGATTTATCAAAAATTTGAAAAGAAAATAAACTTTATCTTTCGAAGATTGATGATCAGGCTTTGAAAATAATATTAAAATGTTTAATCAATTATCTCATTTAATAGGACTCCATACACGCATTAAAAGTAAGTAACAATGTACATTTATATTCAAAAAATCAAAATTAGCTTTATTAATTTTCTGTCACTCCGATATCTAACACAACATTTTTGAATATATTATTCATTTTATTTTAACGTATGATTCGGTGTTTCATACGTTTGTTAGATGGAAACGTGTGCGGGTGTAGCGTCCTTTAAACAAAACAAATTGACTCATAATGTCATACATTCATATTTGTGCATTCAAACTTACAAAAGATATATCTACTCAGAAGAATAAACGTAGTTCAGTATCGGAAAGTCACATGCAAGAACGCAATATTATAAGACACAGCGAAGCACAAGCAACAAGTGACCACTGCCCACAATACGAACACGAGCAACTGGTGGCACTACAAATCGAAGCACACGGTACAGATTGTATTAAAGATATCTAAGAGTCCAGTCCAGAGAACCCGTCAAATGAATGTGAAACAGCAAAAACGTAGACACTTGTAAATAATACATTAAGAATAAATAATTACTAATTAGTATGGTTAATGAAATAATACAGATAAAAATGGCGGTGCAACGGCGTGTGGTACAACACTAGTGCGGCGTATTTCTCGTTTGACGATAAGCCGTCTGCCTGATACAAACTACAAGCAAACGCGTCATTCAGCTATTGGTTGAGAAGAATTGGACGTGTCACTTTCAAACACCAGTTTCACCATTTACAACCTTTTCTAAAGTACACTTTTGCTATAGTTTCCATAGCCCTTATCACGGTTTTAGAAGATATAGGTAGGACCACTTCCCCCAACTAACCAACTAACAATGTTCCAATTATTTGAGTGAAAACGTAAATAAAAACCAAATATTATAGGGATTTGAACTTAAATTGTGATAAAGCATTTTATCAATGTAATATTATTCATTAATACACTATTTATTGATACAATATTATACATAATCATGTGTTTTTATAAGAAGCATAATTTTGTATAGCATGATACCATTTTTTATAATCAATTGAAAGAGACTATAGAAGGAATCTAAAAAGAGAAAACATATTATGTAAAACTTTCTATGTCTATTAGGAATTTTTATACTGTAATTCCACTTCCACTGGCTAAAAGATAAGTTTGTGGATTAGTATTATGTATCTACTTTCAGAATTCTCAATCGAATTCGATAAGACATTATTTAATATTTTTATATGACGTATTATTTATCTGGTCGCATTCACCACCTTTCACAGCAGACATGTTCGTATCGGCAGACGAACGCTTGAAGGTCCTTCTCTTATTAGTTTGTGGTATTTTAGTTCAACATTTAGCAAAAAGAATAAAAATTATTTCGAGTAAACCTGTAAACATTAGACTGTAGAGTTTTATTATTTATATGCAGTTAACCTAACTTGACGCAAGGGAATAGCTAGGATACCATAATAACTATTACCTATGGTTGTCAAACATTTGTGAATAGCATAATGTAATCCACTGTGTAATAAAATATTATGTATCATAATTTATTATTTGTGAGACAAACAACGGTTTGGAGGAATCTGTACGTAGTATAACAACTTATTGTTGTTATTATTATTACTTTGTGGTTGTTGTTCGTACTGAGCGATGAAATTAATAAACATTAAACAATAATATAATTTACGCATCCTACATTCATGATTATTATTGCGGCCGTAACACGTTTGGGTACAGTAGACCCTAAACGCAACACGTTTGGGCACAAATGAATACACCGTTTGGGTACACCATATCTCTAGAAATATAACACGTTTGGGTACATAGGAAATAGGTATTAATATAACATTTAGAAACACCTAGAAAAATAACACTTTAATTATTAATCATTAATTTTAAATTTTTAGAGTCTATTAGCGTTATCCAGGAGACACCACGAGGAGGTTGGCTCTATTTAGAGCTTAGAAATAAAAATAATTTAGCACGCGCAATCGTACGCCTAAAAAGGTACCGCTGATAAGGACCGCGCGCAATCGTATTGCAGCCGTATTTGTGTACCCAAACGTGTTCTACATTTACAGGTAAAAATAATGTAATGTACCCAAACGTGCTTCGCCCATTATTGCGCCATCGAGAATTTAGTATAAAACACTGATATACTCAAGTTGATATAGTTGGTCTTACGTCGACACTGCACCACGATATGTAATGTACCTTAAATCATGCACTGCACTACTGCATAGTAAAATAATTTGGGCTACCGTGTAAATTAAAGGGCACCGCCACGTCCTACATGTAATATGTACAAAATGCATTAGAGCAGAATCATTTTTTTTTTGTTTTAGAATAATCTTCAAGAAAAATCACAACATACAAAATCGATAAATACTAATATTTTTATGGCATTGACACATAGATTTGTCTTAATATTATCTCAAAACAATTTAAACATAATATCAATTTTCAATTTTTATTTTTTTATTTTGTAAGTCGATTACTAAGTCAAATAATAATAATAAAATGTAAAACCGATATGTCATACACTCAAAAATATGATCATTTATAATTTTTGTCATAGGTAATTTTACTCTAAGGTTATACAAAAATCAGAGAAAAACAATTTTAGGTGAAAGCGTTTTATCTATGTTGCGCGTGAGTCTGAGAGAAAAAACAAATATTGTGCTTGCAATGCTTGCATCCTCTTAATCTACAGTACCTATCGACATATTAATATCACTAGGTATATAACTCGCATGACTCAATTATAATAAAAAAAAAAAACAATATAAATAACGAATATCGATACCTATTATTACCTATGGTGAAATGTGAGTGTGTGTGCGACGTGTGTGTGCCGGAGTGCTACAGGTACACAAGTGTCTGGTACGACACTACGAAGGGGATTACTATTACCGATACCTTAAAATAAAAATATTATTATTCGGAGGCTGAGACAGTTTATATAGGTTATTACGTTTATTTATTAGCTTTATATTGCTCAACGCGGGTGTAATGTGGACGACTTATACATGAGGTACAGAATTCGTAGACAAAAAATGTACTTTGGAGATTAAAGAATATTCAGCCAAGCTATGTTTTATATTTTAGAATAATATATTGTATTATATTTGTTCATAAAAAAATGGGTTTATTTATCGAGTTTTATATGATGGTAATTTGTAATTTGTAATTTTCGATTAATATACCTACCTATTTAAAATGTTAAAATTTGTGCATAATAAGTGATCACTTAACAAACTAATTACAAATGTATGTATTTTTTGAATTTTGATAGTAAATAAGAGCCTAATTTTTAAATTTTTAAAAATTGTTCTTTTTTAAATATTAGTTATTACCCTAAAAAGTACGCTGGGCAAAAACACAATCATTTGTTGGAGGTAACAACTTATGACCTTGCCTCCAAATACCAACCGTTATCTCTTATCTATAACTAATTTATTTCACTAATTCACTGGTCTCATTTGCAAAACATGTCCACTGTAGATGTCTAGATGTGTAGAACACTCTCCCCAATTAATTTTACCTATAATATAAGTAAATAATAAATTTTAAACAGCATTCTATACCGGGTGATCCAGACACTCATAATTATTTATTTCAATAAATATTGAAGTGTTTGGAAATACTGTTTTTACATAATTTTAAAACGTTTAGTTTTTTTTGATGGTTATGAATTTTTAATTCCTTTTTCGAAAACCGATTTTGTCGAAGCACTTGTACTACTATGCATAAAAAACGAATTTTGAGCAAATAATTATTGAGTTATAATTATTTAAAGTTTGGAAGTGAGGACTGGAGTAGCACACAGTTCCCCTTAAATTTTGGTCCACTATTCCACTCATCTATACTTATTAAAGACCAGTCTCGTAAAAAATACTTTTGTTTTATTAAAATACTTATACTAGTATATGAATAAAATTGTACTCAAAATACTTTTAAAATATTATTATAAAAATGTATTTGATGAATACTCCCAAAGTATTTGAATATAAATAAAAGTATTTTTTTTAAAATTTTAATAATTTTAAACCATATAATAAATATGTATACTATACATCAGTACAGCCTCAGGTACCTATATTATGATAATACTTACAACCATAGATTTTATTATTTTAACGATTTGAAAAACACTATAACATGTTAGACTATTTAGTGGTAAATATAGGTTTACATATATTTCTCAACAATATCAACAAAATCAAATGACAAAAATAAATAAATAAAAATTTGTATTAACTATTAATATGGATCTATTTTAAAATGATTAGATTTTCATTTTCCTTAACGTATTCAGTACAATTGTACATATTATATTCTGTGAAACTATGCGTCCGTACGACTGCACAATTAAAGAACTATATTATATTATTATTACTTTTTTTAAATAACAATAATACAACAAAATATAGTTCTTAGAGATATCAACAATAAGAATAGAGAATTATTATGATTATAATATTATTTCATCAAAAACAATATTATTTCTATTCATATCAATTGTTTTGAAAAATAAATAATAAAATAGACTTAATGATATTTAAATAAAAGTATTAAAATGCTGCTAAAATAATTTTTAAAAGTATCCAGATTACTCAAAAAAAGCTTTAAAAAAATTCTATTTAGAATATCAAAAAATACTTCAAAAAGTATTTTAATAGAAGTATTTGAATACTTTACATGACTGTTAAAATACCTATATAATTAACTATTAAACTACTTATTCTAAATTTAATTATTATAGATTGAAGTACTTTAAAACATTTTTAATCTTTAGAATATCAAATTAAAAATTTGTGTGACGCAAATAGTAAAAATAGGCTCTACCAAACATAGCTCATCATAAATGTACATTCAATATTTTTTCATTGAATATGTTACTGGCATATAACATTAATTTTATTCTTATTCTTAACCAAAATAGTCATTTAACACTTAATACAAATAATTTAGACATTCTACACATAAATTCTTTGTTTTGTTTTAAACATTTTTGTCTTGGATTGTCTTTATCAAAAGTCAATATTTTGTGATCAAGTTCTTAGTTGAATCTGGTTTGGTAATTTCAAACTCATATAAATAGAATATTTTGGAAATTAAATAGTAAAACTAAAATAACAAATTAACTTGTAATAATCAGAGCCAGGCGAGTAGGGCCCAAGTCCAAAGCCTTCTTACTAATGTGTTATTGATTCTATAATACACAGATATTCACCGCAGTACAAAAATATAGATAAATACATTTATAAATAAAATACTCTGAGAGCACGATTGTCTTTTTAATTAAAAATCATGGGACGCCAGTAAAGTGCGACATTGAGTGCATTGGTCATTATTTATAACTTTTTTTATTTAGAGTTTGACAAAATTAATTTAATTTTATTATTTACATTGCTTGGTTGTCATCTTATTGATACTCGATTAAGAAATGTAAACAACACAATGTAAGTAATTTACAATTTTTACAAACTCATTGTTTTTTAAAATGATGTACCCCTGTCAGTTGTTTAACTAAAAGCATAATATTTGTATACATATAATACCTACTAACTATGTCCACCATGAATTATTTATCACAATCAATTAGTTACTTATTTATTGGAATGTGTGTATACAACATCACAAAGCAGGTCGACAGGACATTTTTTTTGTTTTTTTTTTTGATATGCCATTAGTGAATTTCAAATCATACATAATTTGTTTATTTATAACATTTATAAAGTATAAAAAAAAGATTTCTGAATATTTCAATAAATAATTAATTCAGGGTAAACAAAATATCAATATTTCATATAAACAGTTGTTTATTTTTATATATATTGATGAATAAGAATCATGAATAAGTAAGATAAACTTATCAAGATTAAAAAATGATTATTTATAACATTAAAAACCGTAGTCTTAAAGTAATAATAACATTAAAGTAATAGAACGATTGCAGAGTCTAAAATAAAATTATTTTATAAAACCAACAATCTTATTTAATGGTGATATGTTTGAAGTTCTTGAATCTATAACAAATTAGTCAAAACATGTATAATGGATCAGTAAGTTATATTCAAATATTAGACTTCAAATGAACTTTTATTCTGAGATAAAAATATACAAAGTATATACCTGTTGTTCTTTTTCTAGTTGCTCAGTATGTAGATTATTAGATAAACTAATAAAACGTTCTCTTAAATTAATATTTTCAATATTTGCAATTTGCCAATCTTGTTGTAATTTACGTTCTTTAAGGTCTTCAATTTCTTGTCTTAACTGATCAATTTTATGTTTTATATCATCTGAAACGAATTCAAAGATTGATAATATTATAATATACATTTATCTAGGATTCGTTAGTTTTTTTAGTAACTTACCAGCAGACACACTTCCAGCTTTTAATGTTGATAAAATGGATGTATCACCAAGTTCATTATCATTGCTAAGTTCTAATTCAGACTTACAATCCACACCTAAATCATATCTATAACCCATACTTTCATCGAATGTGGAATCTTTTCCTTCTTCCTTTTTAATAACATGGCTGGAACTATCATCAGAAATAAACATTTCTTTCGTAAACTCTGTAATAAGATTTTGGGTTCCAGAAATTGATGGTTTTTCCTCCTAAAATAGGAATTATTATTATTTAATATATTTATTTTAGACTGAGAGTAACAATATTATATTGGTTTTACATTGGTGTTTAAAAAAAAAGCCCTATAGTTTGTTGTGGCCTTTTTGAGGAGTAAAAATGGTGGCAATCAACTTTGCAATTGGTTTTTGTCATACATTTGTATCTAGCTGGAAAGAGTCTAGAATAAAAATTCACCAGTACTTTACCAATTATTTATAGTAGCACTTCCTAGAAATTACGTTTTTTTAAAAATATTTTATCATACTGTGTGTTATTTATAGACATTAAAAATTGTTTTCTTATTTTTATATTTTAACGTATGCTGATAACATTCTTTCTTTCTAAACACAGTCAAAACACTTGAAAATTTAAAATAAGTTTCCTCACAAATTGTTTCTACAGCAGTTTTTCATAATTTTGATATTAAATGAAAAATTCCAGTTTTTGTAGTTATTAAGTTGTAATTGAAACAATTTTAATATTGGATAGTTAAAATTTTTTTGCCATTAAGTACTTATACTTTATTTTTTATACTTACTACAATTTTACTATAATTTTTAAATATTTTAGACTAGTTTTAAAGATAACAATATAATTATACCATGAACCCAATCACACTATTATACAGCCCACCAGTACATAGGATTGTCAACTTTTAATTTAAAAAATATTTGCCTGAGTGCCAAAAAAAAATTGGTTTCCATCATTTGTCATTAATAATACAATTAAAGGTATACATTTGCACAGCCGTGGCTTAAAATAACTAGGTTATTAGACAATAGTATAATTTTATCACATCATAGAACAAAAATTTTAGTATAAGGGGACAACCTATACTTAAAACATGGACTGTATCCTTACGCTGCCATTTTACATTGTTTAAATTGACTAATTTCATAAAAATACAATAAAATATTTATATATTCATATCAGTGTCTCATCAAAACTACACCAAATTTTTTTATGTCAGTGATGGTTTATACTGGTGACCGGCTTTTTAAGTCTACTGGAGTGAAAACACTGTACCAGCAAAATACTGACCAGTGGGCACCCATATCAGTGGATGGTATTGGCTGTAATGTTCACGAGAATTAAATATAATTAAATAATAGAACATATACATGGTTTTTGGGAAAATTTGATCAACATACTATACTATTTATAGAAAAATAAATTACCACTTGTAGGTAATGTAAATTACTGTAGAAATAAAGATTAACTAGTAACATACAGACTCTACTCAGTATCATTTTTCTGATACAATGATTGAATTGAATTGTATTACATTCACTACAGTGACTTACTTAATTACCAGATTTATCAAAACATACTATACAGTACAACTTTCCCGACCCCCAGTGGTAAGGATTACTAAATTAAAAAATGTACCATTAATGAATTAGTATCAGAGAAACGGCTATTATCATTACTCATATCTTCATCCATATCCATTATATTTATATTACCATCTTCATCTGAATCACTTACAGCTTCACCAAAAATATCTTTTTCCGCTAATAGAAAAATATTAATTAAGTTAACAAATAAAGTAACTACAATCAGAATATTGTATTCAAAGAGTAAATATGAAAAATTAAATATAATAAGAAATTTAAACAATACCAATGTCTTGATTTAGATTATTATACAGTTCACCTTGCATAAAAGGTTCTTCTTTAATTTTTCTATTGTTTTGAAGCTCTGTTTCGGATATTACTTCCCATTTTACACAAACAGCTTCACTATCACTTTTTAAGAGATATTTAACCTGAGAAAATATAATAGTACACTTAGCAATGTATAAAACAACTTTTAAATAACAGTTAATTAAGCAAAACCTCTTTTTCAATTTCTGGAGCTTCAGCATATTGTTTTCTAAGGGTTTTACGAAATCTTCGTTTTCGTACATTTTTCAATGGCGGAGTTACACCATGTGGCCACAAATATTTTTTATCAACTTTATAAGGTTCTTTTTTTTTTAATACTTTTGTTTCCTCATCATCTTCAGACAGAAAAAGTTCTTCGTTTTCTTTGCATATAATCATCTAAGAAAATAATTATGTTAGTTTAACATAAATAAAATATATCATTCAATAATGAGAAAGTAATAGGTAAATAACTTTAAACCAAGTATTGAATAATGCATTTTAAATTGCAATAAACCACATTTTTAGGTATTAGGAACAGAAATACATCAAACATTTAAAATTATTATTTAAACTTAATGAAATAAAGTGATTTTTATAAATATATATATATACATGTACAGAAATATATATATAAATGTTCCATGAATGAATTAAATATAAAATCATCACTTTCGATGACAATCACAAAGTAGATATTAGCAGAATACAAAATATTCAAAAACCTTAATTTTATTCAATATTGTAATGATTTAATTTATAGTATGCTGTCAATTTACTACTGAATTATCATGAAAAAATAATAAAATATAAAAACTAAAATATGTAATATAAATAAACTTAAATTAATAAGAATAATAATTGTGTCGGGGTGTATTCTACCACTAGTTCAAGGATGGGTGACCACCCAGGTCTTTAGTGACAAATTCTTGCCACATATGCACATATATCAAGATTAGGTAAATACAAATTATAAAATATTATTTTTCAATATTTATAGTGCAATTTTACTTCAATATCTGATTCACTTGGTACAAAAAATAAAAGTTTTTATTTTATATGTAATAATGTTACTTCAATAACAAATACCGAACAAAGCATTATAAAATTCAGGATTTGAAATACTGGGCCCAACACATTATGCTCACTTAGGTTAGGTAATAAAAATAAAAACTCAATTTATCAAAATACAATATAAAAATACATGTTATATTATTTTCTTAATGTTTTGTTTTAATTTGCTGTTTCATACTTTTTATAAAACATATAATAGACTCATAACAATAAAAAATAAGTATTAGTAAGTGTTAGTACTTTTAGGAAAAAATTATTTAAGCAGATTAAAACTCATTACAACCCAATAAAACCCATTGTAACCCATAATAACACGACCGGATTAGGGGTTTTAAACAATGTCTACCATACTTCCAGAAAGGCAAATTGAAAAAACTAACATAGACAGAAGGTAATTTTAAAATAATAAGGTAATTGCATTTTGTTATTCACATAATATTTGTATACCTAATCATGAGTCAATTTGAATAATTTAATGATTTGATATTTTATTTGCAATTTTATTGTTTTTGTGCTAAAAACGAAATGTATTTATTAATAAATATTTGAGAAAAACAAGTTAAAAAGTTTCACAGATAAAATTTAATGCCTGCGTGTATTGTATAAATGTCATATTGAACTTCTCACCGATGAAGAGAATCATTTTTAAGATCTTTGTATGCAGGACGACAGTATGATAAATTAGTTTCAGTTTCTTCCAAAAGTAAAAACATATACTTAGATGGTTTAAAACTTAGTTGAGGTAACTAATCAATAAATAGTTAAAATAAGATTGACACACTTTTACATAAAAAAAAATCTTTAAGCGTATTGCCCATCCAAAGTTTGCTTATATTTACATAGCATATTTTTCAGACATTATGTTATTGGTAGCACCTAATACAATTCAAGAAGCTTAAAGACATTATGCATTAATGATTAAAAAGCAAAAAACTAATTTTTTTGTATTTTGTTTTTATAATAATTTAATTGACGGGATTTATATAAGAGTAATTCATTAAATGAATTAAAAATATATTTTGTATAAAAAAAAATTACATTTAACTGTTAATAACAACTCAAGTCAGCAAATTAATCATAACTAGGGTTCGGATTTGAAGGCAATATAATCAATAAAAAAAGCATTTAAAATGTAAAAAAAGGCAAAAAAAGGCATTTAATTTATATCAAAAGGCAATTCATAAATATACTACAAAATAAAATAGTGAACATTTTTTAAACACTTTCAAATGCACACATTTTGAGAAAAATACAAATTAAAAATGAGCATGAATACTAAACTAAATTAAGTTTATGCTATTTTGTATAAATAGATTAGGTACCTTTTTTTAAAACCAGGTTTGTCCTAAGAATTAGTTAAAACAATTTTAAATATTAACTTAATTGAGTTATACTAGTTAATTTAATGCAAAATAAACTAGTTGGTATTAAAAAAAAATTGACTACCATGTATTGTGATAAGCTGTCTTCAGAAAAATTAGGGGTTAAAATATTTTTGTACATCGAAAAAGATCTTTCTGCGTCCACCGAAGTTATCGGGGGTATTTCATACTTAAATAATTATCTAAATTAAGATTGCAAATTGATAGATCGTCATCGCTTGTGGTTTCTCCAATCAATACTTGGTTGATCTTTTTGATATTTTACCATCCCTTGTTCTTCGATATAACTTTGTTGAACCTAACCAAATACTCGATAAGATGATATCGATTAATATTGCGAATAATAAAAATCATTTGTAGCGATAATACTCAAGCTGTGTATACAATTATAAAATCAACTAAAAAATTAAACACAAAATAGGCATTTATGAGTACAAAAGGTAAAAAAGGCAAAAAGGCATTTATAAGTAAAAAGGCAAAAAAAGGCAAAACAAAAAAAGATACATCGTCTAAGAAATTAAATGAAACACATTTTTGTATACAAATTATTTTTCTATTGTGATTAATAAGAGAAAGGCATTTGCCTTCAAATCCGAACCCTAATCATAACTTATAGAACTAAAATGTATCAACCATACCAATTATATACATGTTATGGGCAATGTGTACAATTGCTGTCAATGTGGTCCTGTCCGGGTATATAAACCACTTTCTTTTTTAACCAACTAATATTATTACCTAATTATAGCATTGATATTTTTTTTAAACAATCATTATTAATTTTATTTATGTATCATAATGTAATTAAATATGAATTTTTTGAAGCACTGTGTATAAACTTTTGTTACTTATTGTACTGCCTATTTAAGAATCATAGTTTTCTCATATGGATATGACCATACCTGAATGATAAAAGTAATAGCTATCTTGATGAAGTCAGTCAACCATAAAAAAAGAACAATAAGTGATATTTTCGACTGGTCGAGTTTTTAAACTGTACACGACACTGTATACTTCGTTACTTTGTACATGTCTTAAATATAGAAAATACATTTTACAAACATTTGAACAAAGTTATAGAAACTAAAAAAACTAGTAAAAACCTTATAGATTATTAGAATTATATGAGTGAATTGGATGAACATCACAAAACAGGTATTTTATAGCAAAAAATCAAAAGTAAATAAAGCATAATTTAAACCATTATTGAAATATTGAATTAATTGTTCACTTATAGGTACTCCAAATCGTCCAAAAAAAACTACCACAACAAGTACCACTGAAGTGAATAATATGTTTTTAGATACATGTGCGTTGGATAACATGAAGAACAAACCATATTTTGATACTTTTTTTTGTCAATTTATTTGCAAAAATAAATAATGTATATAGGTACAAAGTATGTAGGCGATAACATGGATTATAGCACTGATCATACTTATAGAGTGTTTTTAAAGATAAATCTCCTTGAACTATATGATGAACAAACTATATCTGTAACATCTGAAATAAAGCTCAAAGTACTCTGACTTATATACTTTTTTTGTCAATTTGCCTAAATTGAATAATATCTTTAGGTTTTTCAAAGTCTAATGGCAGTATTACGAAAGGTAATATGTCTTCTGAAACAATGTTAATACAACTCGAACATCACAAGCAACAAAGTATGAAAAGCATGAACGCGGTATTAATTTATGTTGAGCTTTTGTTCAGCATTTTTTTTAAATAAGTAGGTACTGGAACTACCATTTTTGCATTCAAAATATAAAAAATCTTGGACAACTTTTAAAAATTTTAGAGGGGAGGGGGGGTTACCTTATTTAGGAATAATTTTATTATTTTTACCTGACATATATCTGCAGTTTTATACATAGTCTTGTTGTCAAGTGTTTTTTGTCCTTCAATGATAGTTGGTAAGTCAACAACCTAAACACAGGTTAAAAAAAAGGTGTAACACATAAATTGGCTCCTAATATGTAAATATGGAATAACTGGATTAAACAACTTAGTTTTGCCACTCGACATAGTAACAAACATAATAATAAAAATAATGTTAACATATTATAAGTAAATAAAATACCTTTGCAAATAGATGATGATTGCCGATACAAACTTCACCTCTGCGAATATCATTTTCTAGTTTTATACTAAGTTGATCTTTGGCATCACTTTTAATTATCTCTCTTATCGTAGCAGCAGCTTCCTATAACACAACATGTGAATACAATTTTATAATTATCTTCATTTTCAATACACAATATTATATTGTAAACGACTATAGAAAAAACTTAAGCATTATACAATTACTATTGCTAAACATGTAAAAGAACATTTTTAAGATAATATAAAATGCATATTTATTTCGAGAAATGATCAGCCGGCACATAAGTAATAGATGAAAATTTTAATATGTACTACCGATGGGACTCTTAAAATAACTTCCGATTCCAACTCGATTGTTTGATCTGATTTGTCTTCCATCTTAGAAGACTTCAATCCTGTGTGAAAGACATCTAGTATAGTACAGTATAAAGTATAATATCTACATATTATAATATAGTATTTAATTCACTACCTCACGAATTCACGATGTAAATAACAAGCTATTAATATTTGCTAAAGCGCAACAATAATGTTTATTAACTTTATAGACCGACAATTTAAGTATTAGCATGCGCCACTACATTGTACATTTTCAAATATAATATCTTAAATAGTGAGATGAACTGAAAAAAATACAAGCAATAATAATGGTATTATTGTCACGGCCCGCACACAATCACTGTCGCAAATCGTACGCTGCTAATTAATAATTATTATTTATTAATGTCGTCAATCGTTTATCATTATCACGTAATTAATGATTTGATTGTAATAACGGCTAAAGCACGGCGGCACAACGGTCGTCGCAAGGTTCGCGCCACGATCAAAGACAATATTATACTCAACCACAATTTAGGTTAAAAACTTTGGCGTAGAAGTGCAGCAGTCGTGACTCGTGGCTGGGTTAGGGTGACACAACTGCTATGCACTACTACTACCATGAAATTATGCTACCCGATATTTTCTTATCATATTATTGGTAGGACCCTCAACTTTACTATCTCGTATGTCAATGTTGTTACGAATCACGGTTAATAGATATATCTATTAACCGTGGTTACGAATAACAACTACAACGATGTAAAAAGAAAATACAGATTGTAAATGTAATCACGACTGATAATAATTAATAATATTATCACAGAATGTACAATATAAAAAAAATACTTAATAATAATTAATAATAAATTGGTACATGTATGACTTATAATGAGTAATGACTTCTTGAGTCCTGTAGCCTGGATCTAATTTAGGTAATTCGGAATTCACAATGTACCACATTTTATGGAATAGCTCAATTCAGGTAAAAAATACATGATACTTGGAAACAAATCATGTAAGTAATAAACAAATAAAGACAATAGGTAATTATCATTATTAATATTTATCTTCTATGAAAAATTGTTATCTTTTTTATGAACATATATTTCACCTCATTCACTATTAAGTAGGAATAATACAAAAGTGTAATTTTTTTTTTGAAATATTGCATTTCGATGAATTTATAATTTTTTTAGAATATTTTCTGTATACTTCTGACATATTTTTGATAATTTATCCTACATATCTATACAGTACATGTTTTTATCTCTGCTACACTGAATATACTTTTAAGCTATACTTTTAGCCGTCAAAAAGGGGGGGGGGCAAGTGGCAAGTGCCCTAGGGCTTTTAAAGTCAATATTATTAAGGGGGTGTCATAAAATTAAAAATAAAAAAAAATGTTGGTATTTTTACTTTAGATATTAACTTCTTATACTGTAATATCGAAAATTAATATATCAAATTGTTTATTATATATGCCTTCAATAATATATAAATATCAATATCAATATTATGTGTAGGGCTAAGATTTATATGCATTTGCATGTTTTTTTCCTGAAGTCCAAATTGATTGGTTGTCAGATTTTTCCATGATTTGGCTTATTCTCATTTAAATAGAACCAATTTTTTTTGCATATTTTTGCATATTTTGAACACAATGCATATAATTGCATATTTATAGATATTTGAGTTTTTTATTTTTTTTAACTTAAATTTTTAAATTTTTATAAATTATTGTTAATTTTACATGGCTTTTATTTCATAATACCGATAGTTTTTGGTTTATCCGTCGAATTGTAAATATATAGTACAGCGATTCTTAACCTTTTGTAGAACACGGACCCCCGATGAAATATTTTTAGAAATCGCTGACCCCCCCCCTACTAATTTTTTGTCAAATACCTTTTTTTACAAAACATATCAAGTTATCATAACCAAAATTATAATAACTATTTTATATTACAAATTATAGAATTAGACATAACAAAATATACAACATATCATTGAAGTGTGTAATAATATAAACTAATATTTAATGTAATTTTATAAACTTATATTTAATGTAATAATATAAATTATGAATTATGATAAAAATATATATCTAGAAATAATAAAAATTTGTTTTTGCATATTTTTGCAAATTTGGTAAATAATATGCATATTTTACGATTTGTTATTGCATATAAATCATAGGCCTTAGCCCTAATTATATGTGACTGACTGTGAATCATGATGACTATTATTAGTTAGTTACCCAAAAGTATAATATGTATAAGTATCATTGATTATACCCACTAGTATTCAACAATAATTCATTAGTTTAGTTAATTAATTTTACCCATTTCCAAAAATAAATTGAGTTAGAGGAGTTCGATTGAATTCGGTAAATAAACATCACTCATACACTTGTACAAATGTACAATTTTCAATGTTGACTGTTGTCTCTTGTCTATTGTACATGCCACACACAGGAGCACAGAATGTATGTTGGGCTGTTATATGATTTACGCTTAGCTATTAGTATTATACATCCGTGGCATAATAATCATAGTATTGAATACGTTTTAGTAATTAATATTTATGTTTTTAGTTTTGTGTTTCATTTTACTTACAAATAGCCAAAAAGAGAACGATTGGGGCTCAAAATAGGAATTATAATTATTAAAATTAATTAGTTGTTCTTAAAAACATAAAAGGTTTTATTTACTTTGACTATTTATGTTAATATATTATAAATAACTCATAAATATTTGTACTTGATAGATACAAATTTTTTTTTATAATTTGTATGGACTGTTATGTGTAAATAGTGATTTATTTTTTACTATAATGTACTCAGAATGATAGCTTCAAAAAATCATAAAAACAAATTAAATACATTTATATAAATAAGACTACATAATAATAATAAAAAAATAAGACGGAACCTTTAATGAATAAGCATTAAAAATATTTAAGTAAGATGTTAATTAAAAAAGTAGAGTCAATATTTTTTTGGGGGGGACAGAGAGAGGGGCGCCAAATATTGTTACCCCCTAGGGCGGCATTGGTGGTTAGGACAACACTGCTTTTAAGTTAAAAATTATTGTTTTGTTTCATAATTATTTTTTAGGTGATTGTAAATCTTTAGATTAGATAATGATTCCAGGTCTTTAAATTACATAGCACTGAAAAGGTTGTTCAATTGATGAACGTTTATTTAAGAAGACGTCAAGAGAGGAAGTCATACATTTTTTTCATAGAATCAAATAACAATTAGTCCTGAATGATAAATTGTCAGTCACATTATTATAAATATACCATTCTGTATACATTACTTTTTAATAAGTATGATAGAAAAGTATGAATAACTCTTAATAGTTTTAATACATTTTGTGTCAAAGCGTCATTATGAACTGATCAATATATCTTGTAACTGTATTTTTATTGTTCTAGTCTCAACATTTGTTTCTTATTATTTTTTTTTTTTTTTGATGAAAATGTTTATGTATCATATTCAGTATTCACTACTATTGTCTATTTGTAAGTTTAGCATTGTAACTTATTATTTACACTGTACTATTATCAAAATCTTCTAAAGGGTCCTTACCTGTTTATTAATAATAAAATAAAGTAAAATAAAAAATATTGAATATCTTATCTTATACTCCCGTAAAATATGTTTATTTTCTCCACTTTAAACTTTGAAAAATGTAAGATACTTACTGTTAGAATTTTTTATTTTATTAAACATTGCACTGATTTATGGTTAAGTTTTTTAATACTGTAATATATTTAGTGTTCGGAATAATTATAGAATTTATACATTTAGATGATAATAATATTTTTTTTAAATAATAATCATATTTATTGGCCAAGAGAAAGATACAATTTTGATAAGTAATTAATGATTATATATACAATATGGTTAGATGGCCCATCTCACCACTGAGGATAACCTCTTATCGGTGATGATGGAGTACTATTAAGAGCTAGGTTGGTATACATTTACAATTTTTATAATATTTTAGGTATTTCATTAGAAATTGCGTCATATCTGACTATAATTCAAAAACATAAATATATAAATAGATATACCTGTACAACTATAGTAATTAAAGCATAAATTGCAGGAAATAAGTAGATATAATATAATATATAAAAAAAGTACATCAAAAATAGAATTTTTAAATAAGTAAATAAATAGACTTCATTATATAGGTACACTGGTATATTACATAGGGTGTAGGTCACTAGTATTATTTAACAACCATAATTTAATAGATTGTTTATATATTTTATAGGACGTACTGTTAATAATTTGCAGCGGAATATTGTTTAATAATTTCAAACCCAATTGCGAAAAACATCGGCTAGACTTCAATATACGAACAGTAGGTATTTCTAAGTTGTTTTTTTTGTCGTGTATTATAGTGTCTATGTTTGAACTCTATTAAATTAAATGTGTATGTGTAATATAGGGCATTTCTGTAAAATAATTGTTGCGTCGTAAGAACTTTAAGTTCAGTAAATAGATCTTTGGTGGGATATGTTTTTCGTTTACTCAAAATTATTTTGATTATGCTTTTTTGGGCTTTGAATATTTTATTGCTTCCTATAATACCTAATTCACCCCAAGCGGTTATTCCGTATTGTATAATAGATTGTGTCATAGCAAAGTATATTAAACGTAGAGTCTGGTTATTTAGGTATTTTCTTGCGTAAATGAATAGATAGTGCATTTTCCGTAGTTTCATTATTGTGCTATTTATGTGTGTATCCCATTTTAGGTGTTGGTCAAAAATAATACCTAAATATTTAATAGTTTTCGTTTTATTTATAACATTACACGAACAGTTATTAGATTTACAATCTATATTATGGATTTTAATTGTATTTGAATTAGGTTGGGTTCTTTTGTCTAGAGTGAAATTAATGTAGTTTGATTTAGTGTAATTTATTCTTAAATTATGGTTAAGAAACCATGCATTTATCAAGTGGAGGTCCGTTTCTGCTTTTAGACGAACTTCGTCCCAAATTTCCCCAGATATAAGGATGGCTGTATCGTCTGCATAAGAAAATAGTTAACCGTGAATATTTAAATGATTTAGCGAAGAGACTTATATAATATAAAGAATAGGTGATAATACAGTCCCTTGAGGAACTCCCGTTGTGATTGTAATTTCGTCACTAAGTGTGTTATTAATTCTTACTTGTTGTTTTCTGTTGTCTAAGTAAGATTCTAATAATTTTAGTGGTTTATTAACTATACTTATTGATTGAAGTATGAGTATCAATGATTTATGAGAACTGCTGTCAAAAGCTTTACTGAGGTCCAGGAAATTTCCTAATGTTTTTTTATTCTTGTTTAGGTTACTGTATATATCCATGGAAAGCCGTGCTAAGGCATCTTTTGTTTCTAGGTTTTTCTTAAATCCGTATTGGGCTTAGGTAAGATATTATTTTCTTCTAAGTAATCTAAGTAACCACGAATAAGAAAGTGAATTTCAAAACAAACATAATGCAAAATATATGAAATATTATGGTATGAGAAACAAATGTTACAGTATTTTTTGATTGTAAATAATAATATTGAACAATACAA